CCCTGTGACATAATATATGATCTATTTTTGAGAAGGATCCATGTGCTGCTGAGAAAAAAGTGTAACTGCTTGATGTTGGGTGGTATATTCTATATATGTCAATTAAGTCTAGGTTATTAATTGTGTTATTGAGTTCTATAGTTTCCTTATTCAACTTTTGTTTGGAAGATCTGTCCAGTGGCGAGAGAGGTGTGTTGACGTCTCCCATGATTATTGTATGGTGGTCTATTAGACTCTTGAACTTGAGAAGAGTTTGTTTGATGAACATAGCTGCACCATTGTTTGGGGCATATATATTTATGATTGTTATGTCTTGTTGGTAAAATGGTTCCCTTAAGCAGTATGTAGTGTCCCTCTTTATCCCTTTTGGTTAACTTTGGCTTGAAATCTATTTTATTTGATATGAGTATGGACACTCCTGCTTGTTTCCGAAGTCCATATGAGTGATATGATTTTTCCCAACCTTTCACCTTCAGCCTATGTATGTCTTTTCCTATCAAATGCGTCTCCTGTAGGCAGCATATTGTTGGGTCTTGTTTTGTGATCCATTCTACTAGCCTGTGTCTCTTAATTGGTAAGTTTAAGCCATTAACATTTAGGGTTATTATTGAGATATGGGTTGTTCTTCCAGCCATATTTGTTTATTTATGTTACTAAACATGGTTTGTTTTCCTCTTTGATTATTTTTCCCCCCTTTACTGTCCTACCTCCCACTGTTGGTTTTCATTGTTATTTTCCATTTCCTCTTCCTGTAATGTTTTGCCGAGGATGTTTTGAAGAGATGGTTTTCTAGCTGCAAATTCTTTTAACTTTTGTTTATCATGGAAGGTTTTAATTTCATCTTCCATCCTGAATCTTAATTTCGCTGGATACACAATTCTTGGTTGGAACCCATTTTCTTTCAGTGTTTGAAATATGTTATTCCAGGATCTTCTAGCTTTCAGAGTCTGTGTTGAAAGATCAGCTGTTATCCTGATTGGCTTACCCCTAAATGTAATCTGCTTCCTTTCTCTTGTAGCTTTTAAAATTCTCTCCTTATTCTGTATGTTGGGCATCTTCATTATAATGTGTCTAGGTGTGGATCTCTTATGATTTTGCACATTCGGCGTCCTATAGGCTTCTAGGATTTGGGATTCTGTCTCATTCTTCAAGTCTGGGAAGTTTTCTCGTATTATTTCATTGAATAGATTGCTCATTCCTTTGGTTTGGAGTTCTGTACCTTCCTGTATCCCAATGACTCTTAAGTTTGGTCTCTTAATGTTATCCCATATTTCTTGGATGTTCTGCTCATGGTTTCTTAACATTCTTGCTAAGCTGTCTATGTTCTTTTCCAGTTGAAATACTTTGTCTTCATTGTCTGATGTTCTATCTTCTAAGTGTTCTACTCTGCTGGTAGTATTCTCCATTGAGTTTTTAAATTGGTTTATTGCTTCCTGCATTTCTAGGATTTCTGTTTGTTTGTTTTTTATAACCTCTATCTCTGTGTATAGTTGATCCTTTGCTTCCTGGATTTGTTTGTGTAATTCATTGTCGAAGTGATCTTTCATTGTCTGATTTTGCTGTCTAATGTCTTCCTTGATACTCCAGATCATCTGAAGCATGTATATCCTGAATTCTTTATCTGACATTCTATCTACTGCATGCTGTTACCTCTTCTAAAGTTGCGTTGACCTGCATTGCTTGTGGTCCTTTCTTTCCTTGTCTTTTCATACTGCTTGCGTTTCTTTCTGCTTGGTGAAACTGTTGTGTTTTTGAAATGTTTTTTTCTCCTATATATTTATATTGCTCTTGTATAGTTGAAAAGTCTCCCTTGCAGGGTCGGGCGGCGGTCTGCCTACCTTGCAGGCACGGGCGGCGGCTCTGCTCTCTCCTTACTCCAATTGGGGTGTCGTGACTACCACGCCGGCAGGTCACTGGGCCTGTTCTGGGCGTTGGCGGCGGCTCTGTTCTGCCCCTACTCCAAATGGGGTGACGTGTCTGTCGCACTGGCAGGCCACTGGGCCTGTCCCGCTGGTCAGTCGCAGGTCTGCCCACCTTTCGGGCACGGGTGGCGGCTCTGCTCTGCCCCTACTCCAATTGGGGTGTCGTGACTACCACGCCGGCAGGTCGCTGGGCCTGTTCCTGGCACGGGCGACGACTCTGCTCTGCCCCTACTCCAATTGGGGTGTACCATACCAGCAGGCTCCTGGGCCTGATCTGCTGGTCTGTCGCAGGTCTGCCTACCTTGCAGGCGCGGGCGGCGGCTCTGCCCTGCCCCTCCTACCACGCCTATGGGCCGCTGGGCCTGATCTGCAGGTTGGTCACAGGTCTGCTCACCCTGCGGGCATGGGTGGCGGTTCTGCTCCGCCCCCACTCCAAATGGGGTCACGTGACCACCACACCGGCGGGGCCTGATCCGGGCGCGGGCGAAGGCTCTGCTCTGCCCCTACTCCTGTTGGGGTGACGTGTGTACCACGCTGGCAGGCCGCTGGGCCTGACCCGCCAGTCTGTCGCAGGTCTGCTTACCTTGCAGGCGCGGGTGGCGGCTCTGCTCTGCCCCTCCTACCACGCCGTGTACCACTGGGTCGCGGGTCTGCCCACCTTGCGGGCGCGGGTGGTGGCTCTGCTCCGCCCCCTCTCCAATTGGGGTTATGCGATCACCACGCCGGCGAGCTGCTGGGCCTGCTCCGGGCGCGGGCGGTGGCCCGGCTCCTCCCCTCTGGCTCGAGGACAAATCGAGAGAGACTCGGGTGTCTGTGCCTCACCCCCCATACCAGGAGACCAACTGTTTCTGTCGCTGCTAGTATTGATGAAGTTCTCTCCTCCACCGCTTTCTGATGACATCAGATCTCTGCCATGTTGGTATCCTATGCGAATGGCAGCATTTCGTTCCCCTTGCCGGGCAACCAAAGCAACGGGTGAGTCCTGACCGGCCCTCAGCAGGACCCGGACTGAGAAGCAGTTTCCGCGGGCTCCTTAGCCCTGGGCCAGAGCAATTGCGGGAGCTGGAACTCGGCTGCTCCGTGCTCGGTGTATGCTCTGATAAGAGCAGGCTCCAAGAAGCAGGCCCCGCGGGCTCCCCAGCCCTGGGCCTGGGCAGTTCCGGGAGCCGGAACTCGGCCGCCCCGCGCTCGGTGCCCGCTCCGATAAGAGCAGGCTCCAAGAAGCACCCAGGCACTGAGCCCGAGCAATCTGTCCGCAAGCCGCAGGCGAATGGCAGCCTGAAATTACCTGTTCTATGGCTGAATGAGCTGCGGTCAGTCGAAAACAGGGATGGTGACGTCAGCTCTTCAAGATGGTGGCCGCTGGCCTCCTCTGTGGTCTGACCGGTGTGGAGAACCAAAATTGACCGCTTCTTTCCCCCGTCTCGAACCCAGAATTCAGCCCTGAGTACGGTGCTTGCATGGCTGGCAGAAACTGCAACGCTGTATCCCTGCGCCACTATCTCCTCCTCGTTTCCCAGCGCATGCGCTGCAGACTCTAGCCGCGGGGCGATTTGCTGAATAAGCAGTGTTACCCTCCGTGTGACAAATCTCTCGCATTTGAGTCCCCGTAGCCGATCCTCGTGCGATGGAAATCCTTCCTCCAGGTTCCGGAGCACCCCACTATTGCTGGAAATTCCTAACAAGATAGCCTTTAGCTGTCCTGACTTGTCATACTTCCACACAGTGACGCATCACACGGGGGCAATGCACTCCCCTCGCCGCCATCTTCTCTCCCCATTATTTTACTTTTATTCCTGCTTAGTGACTCTTATTTTTTAGATGTTGAAAGTTTTACCTGTATAATTAGAATTCTAACACCTCATGATGTTCAAATGCATGTCAACAGAGAGAATGATTAAAATAGCTGTAATAGTTTGGATTTTTTATTATCTCTGGAATATTTTTCATAACTTCCCTGCTAGCTAATCATGTTCCATACCAAATCTCTCTTAATCCAAATTCTCCTCTTAAAATATTGATTTACAAGTAATGCTTCTTTATGAAAAAGAAGTGCAAATTATCAATAATATATGTTAAAAAAATCACTGTACTTTGGATATTTATCTGGAATTTGCTCTATACCAGAGAACCATCTGTGACTGAACTGATACAAGAACAGGAACAAGACCAGCAGTGGCTGATGGTGCAGTCCAACTGGACGAGCCTCAATGGAACCACTTTGCATGAACTGATGGTCCACAGGTGAGAGGTCTTTCATAAGAGGTATGTGTGGTCAGATTATGGAATAACAGTTTATCATCAGGGCCTCTTTCCATTTTTAATTTCAGATAATCCAAATTTGTCACATCAATAAAGAGTCTTCATAGAATGGCTATTAGCCTTTACATTTCAACATCATTTGATTTTATTTCTTCTTTCTAGACATAGATTTATTTTTATTTGGGGCTAATTACATCTTTCTTTAATCAGAATGATAGAAACTATCATTGTGAAAATAAGGAACTTGAGTTCTAAACCTACAGTTGTTTTAATATCCTATTGAAAATAAACTGTCATGTCTGAATTCCCTACTAATGCCACATGAAATTAATCAGCAGAGAAAATCGAAGTAATAGCTAAAAACCTGGAGAGTCTGAGAAAAGAATAGACATAAAATGAAGTTTTAATCATGGAACCTTGAAAATGCACTTAAGTCTCTCTCTCATACCAGAAATAATGACATCTTATAAAGAGCTATCTCCCTTGTCTATGGGTGGGATGTAGAGGAAGATAAATTGAGGAAATTTTCTCTTACATTATAGGTATTCATCTAGGTAGTCTTACATACATTTCTCATTTAATCCTCACACGAGATTTATCAGCTAGTGATAATTTTCCAATTTTCACAAATGAGGAAACTGGGATTTAGAATGTTCACATAACTTGTGAAAGCTCACAGCCCACAGATAGTGATAGTTTCTGAATTTAAATTGTTTTTCTGACTCCAAAGCTTATAATAAGTGCTAGGGAAATCACTTCTCTTAAAATTTCAGAAAAGAAAACAAAAGCCTATTTCCCCTTAGCATAACCTAAGATTTTCTACACAAACCAAATTCTGTAACCCATATGTCTGAATATTTGTCAAATGAAGCATTTTCTCCCAAACAATTACCTGAATCTTTCAAGAGAGTGGTATTTCTGTAGACTCAGAATGCCAGAAAAGGCCTTTTAGGTCAAATAAATGAATAAATAAATAACTTGTACTAAATTGGGAGTTTGTGGACATAATTCTAGTTCTGGCTTACTAAATGTGGTATCTTATATAACCACAGTTGCTGTAAGGAGTTAAGATGGAGATTCTTTGATAACTTTTCCTATATCTAAAAGCTATAAATTTTTAATCTAAAAAATAACAGCTAATTATTGAGTATCTCTTCTACACTGGGTTCAGTTCTAGGCTTTAAGGGGATGTTGAAGTAAATGACAGAATATAAGACTCTGATCTCAAGGAACATGTGTAATTTGGGTGGATGGAGTAATTGTAAGTTGGTGTACATAAATAATTTCAGATATTAGGGAGTACTACAAGTTAAGGATATAAAGGTAGAGAACAAGGAGAGAGAATTTTAGATTGTTGGAAGGTGGAAAACAAATGAGTGTTTCCTATATTATATAATTATCAATAATTACATGTTCCCCCCCACGTAAATTTAGCAAAACATGAAAAATACAGGAAATCTGTGAAGGTGAATGTGGAAATGACAAAATAAGAATGAATCTTTGTTTAATGTGGGAATCCAAGATTCCTAGCATATCACAGTTTGGGGGAGTCTTAAAGTATCTATATTTTTCTTTTTAATTTACATTGTGAATAAATGTTTCATGGTGGGAAGAGAACTTGGTGATAAAAATTTTACCTACCCGAGACTGAATTCTTCTGTGCACCACATTGAGAGATTCTGAAACACAGTCCATGTTTTTGCCTTTAAAGTTTAAATGGGATTTTTAGAAAGTTCTTCTCCCTTCCTGAACTCACATATCCTATCAGTTCTACTCACTGGTTCTGATCATGCCATGTGGAGTTATACGAATAAATCTCCTTTTCTCATGGCAATTCTTCATGTATCCAAAATTTAATAATAAACGAATCCCCCCAAATCAAAGGTTGAATATTTTCACTGGTATGTAGAAGGTAAACCATGATAAAGGGGGCAGGGAGGGGAAGAATATAAATTCAATAGATTAGACAAAGGGGAATGAAGGGAAGGGAGGAGGGATAGAAATAGGAAAGACAGTAGAATGAATGTAACGTAATTTTCCTATGTATATATGTCTGAAAATACCTAAGTGAATCTCACCATTGTGTACATCCACAAGAATCAGAATAAGATATATTCCATGCTTGTATAATTTTATCAAAATGGATTCTACTGTCATGTATAACTAAAAAGAACTTACAAAATATTTAACTTAGACAATTTTAAGATTTTTTCCAGTCTAAATATTCTGTTCCTTTACCTGTTCTTTAAGTTTTGAAGTAATATTTCATTTCTCTCAGACTCTCAACTTTTGGGGAGAACATATCCTCTCCATAACTATAAACATCTGACTTGCCCCTCCCTCTACACAGATTTTGGGCAATCAGTCTTATTCTCCCTGCACCTTACCTACATTAGGAAACATGGTTAAAATCAATATTGTGGATGGTACAGTCAAGATCATGTGGGAAACTTTTTCCAATAGTTTCTCTTCCCAGGAGGTGAAATTATATTATGAATATAGGAATAAATTGATGTGAATAAAATACACAATCTCCTTATACCCCTTCCCTCAAGTTGATGTCTAACCTTCTCTGCCTTGAGAATTCCTACACTAAAGATAATTATTGCTCAAATCTTGTCTTTCCCTGGTAAAACATTTGGAGTGAATAGTAAGTATGTAACTTAATATTATACCATTTTATGTTCCCAAATGTAGGCAGTCTTGTCCAAGCAGAAGAAAGATCTCTCTTCTGTGTACTAAACAAGGTGAGTGAATTGGTGGCCCAGCAGTAGGATATGAATTTAGTTTACCTCAGTTGGTTCAAGGGAAAAATGACCACTTGCATGTGACACTGAAGACCTAAGATTTATCTGGGTTTAGAGTCACAAACTGTCTTCTGCTCTTTGATAGACTGTGGGCGCCGGCCTGCTGCCCGCTTGAACAAGAGGATCCTTGGGGGTCGGACGAGTCGCCCTGGAAGGTGGCCGTGGCAGTGCTCTCTGCAGAGTGAACCCAGTGGACATATCTGTGGCTGTGTTCTCATTGCCAGGAAGTGGGTTCTGACAGTTGCCCACTGTTTAGAGGGGTAAGCTACACTATTGTTTTATATTATTTTATTTTTACTCTGCCTGGGTCTGATCATTTTTGTAACAACTAATTATAATGTAAATGCTTTGTCAATTGTTGCTATACTGAGTTGTTTTAGTCAGCTTTTTTGCTGCTGTGACTAAAAGATCTGACTAAAACAATTGTAGAGGATGAAAAGTTAATTTGGGGGCTCAGGGTTTCAGAGGTCTCAATCCATAGACAGCAGGCTCCATTCCTCTGGACTCAAGGTGAGGCAGAACATCCTGGCAGAAGAGTGTGGTAGAGGGAAGTGGATCACATAATGATTTGGAAGCAGAGAGACTCCAGTGACAGATACAAAATAAGTACCCCAAAGGCACACCCTCAATAACCCCCTCCTCCAGCCACAACCTACCTGCCTTCAGCCACCACCCAATTAATCCCTTCAGGGGCTGATTTATTGATTGGATTTAGCCAATCTTATCTCCTCTAGACCTTCTTGCATCGTCACATATGAGCCTTGGGGGGACACCTCACATCCAAATATGACATGAATTGTTTGGGGAATAATGACAAGAAAAAAACATTTAGACGTGTTCAATAGAGACAAATTTTTTCCAGATATTTTCCAAGTTAAGTTCACCTTGGTGATACCTGAAGATATGAAGGGGTGTGTGTGTGTGTGTGTGTGTAGAGAGAGAGAGAGAGAGAGAAAGTTGGAGGGGGGAGAGGGAGAGAGAGAGAGAGGGAGGGAGGGAGGGAGGGGGAAAGAGAATGTCTGATTTTAAGGAATTGGCTCATGTAATTGTGGGGACTAGGTGAATCCATAATGTGATTGAGAACAGGCTAGAGACACAGGCAAGAGTTGTAACAGATGAGGCTGCTGGTGAATTCTTTCTTGCTTAGGGGTGATCAGTGTTTGTTCTCTTAAAGTCTCCAGATGATCAATGATATGGCCCACCCATATCATAGAAAGTAATCTGCTATACTCAAAGCCTACTATTTTAAACACTGATCTCACTCAAAAATACCTTCACAGAAACATCCAGAATAATATTTGACCAAATATTGGGGCACTGTGGTCCAGCCAAGTTGATTCATAAAGTTAGCTACCACTGTATCTCTTTAGGGAACACAAGACTAGAACCAAAGGGAAGCCTCCCTCAACCTGACAAACATCACTGAAAAAGGTCCTCATCCGTTCCAGCTATGTGTTGCTGTGTAATTTAGAAACAACAACAACAACAAAAAATTGCAAAACCCCAAACAAAAGAAAAAATAATAACAACAACAACAATCACCCAAACATTTATTTTGCTCACAGAAGATTCTCGGGGTCAGATATTCAGGCAGAAAATAGTGGGTGCAATTTGTCACTTTTCATCAACATCTGGGGCCTCAGTTGGAAGGTTCTAAGGCCGGGGCTGAACTTCTGAAGTCTGGCAGTGGAAACTGTCTTGACTAGGACCTCAGGTCCTCTCCATATGGGCTCATATCATGGTGACTGGCATCCTCCAGAGCCAGCTTCCCAAAAAGTGAGCCAGGAAGAGCTGTGTCACCTTTTAAAACTCAGCTTCCAAAGACACATAACATTAGTATTGCTATGTGTTTTGTTAGAATTATCCCAAGCCCCACCAAATTCAAAGGGAGTGAGGAGTGTCAAAGAACTCAAAAACAGGTTTTAAAAACTACTAAATCACCCAAACCACCCATTTCATTCTATTTATTTATTTTGTTATATCTTTATTTTATTTGTATGTGGTGCTGAGGATCGAACCCAGCGCCTCGCACATGCTAGGCGAGCGCTCTACCACTGAGCCACAACCCCACCCTGTTCTATTTATTTTAAATAACTTCACTTTGTTTCAAAATAAGGTTAAATAATAGCAAAGATGGAAGAGAAAAATAATCCACAGTTCTGTTACCTAATTGATCATTTTTACTTGGTGTGGTTTATTCTAGGGAAAAAAAAAGGCAATTTTACAACTTTTTTTTCCTTTGTCTGTTGGCATAATATTATTTTTGCTAAGCTTTGTCACTTATTGCATAACCATGAGATAATTCATTATCTTCTCTGGGCCACCATCACCTCTTCAGTGAAATGGAGAACTTTACAATCCCCACCTCACAGGGTTGATGTGGGCATGAAGTGAGATGTCTTTGTAAGGTCTTAAGAATCAGGCCTGACATCAACCAGTGATGAAGGTGAACTTTTCTTTTTTAAAAAAAAAAATTGCTAAAAACATTCTGCATTTCCCCTTAGCATTGTGGCATGACTATTTTTGTATTTTGCTAGCACTATTTATCTCTTCCCACACTGTCTTTCCTTGACTTCCTCATCATCCCAGAGATACCCCAATATAGTTTCATGAATGTTCCTCCACAACTATAAACTCATGCATTGTGCACAGGGTGTCACTGCTTATTTTTACAATTTGAAATTATACGCTATATTTTAGTTGCTTTTCTCATTTGGCAATATATCATGGGCACACCTCCAGGTAGATTGACATAGTTCCACTCATTTTTTTTGAAGCTAACTGGATATTCTGTACTATTGATTTACCATAACTTTGTCTATTATTCATCAGTTCATGGATATTTGGATTAGTTTCAGTTTGCCATTGTTTGAAAAAAATATTGCAATAACCTTTCTAATTTGAAGCTGCTCACCTATTGGTACTTCTGTTTCTAGAGGACAGAGACCCAGAACATACATTTAGCTCTTTCATGGGGATTACAGAAATAGATACTTGCTTCGTTTCTTGAGGTACTAACCTTGTGAGCAACAATATTTAAACAAATAATCAGATAAGTGATTAGAAATGAAAATGTATATATACAGTTATTTGATTTTTTTGGGGGGAAATAATATATAAATATCAAACCAGTATGTTCTCTTGAAAACTTTTAATATATAAGACTCAGAATGACTGGAAGAGTCTGCACAGTGTGTCAAGAAATAAACTGCAGTGTTATTGCTTTGGAAGGGGCCAGCCAGATGTTTGCAGATGTCTTTTACAGTTCTGATTTGTATCTCCATAGAAAGCATGGAGTTATACTAGTAAAAGCCCATTCATCAAAAGGTAATTATCTGAATGAATCTAATAGTTCTTTAAGGGAACAGTACTAGTTAATTAACTAGTGCTAGTTAATCCAAGTTCGTATGCCACTTTCAAGTGTGGTATCCAAATTTTCTCTTTCACTGGAAGTTCTGTGAAGTTAAGAAGGAACCTTGCAATAGAGAAGAAATATGTGTTTATAATTAAGGAAATGGATAGAATATCAAAGGCATTGATGACATTTCATGGAACACTAAACATAATGGAACTTTCAAGAGGGGTCTGCCTATCCATGTGAAGTTAGAAATAGCCCAACTTCAAAAAACCCTCTGCTCGAATGTGTACTAATAAACCCAATTCTATTTTATAATCTCTCCAGGGCACTGTAAGCACTTCATAACTTTTAATTATAAGCCTTATTCTCTGCTGAGGCCATCAATTGTGGCAGTTAATGAGATTTACTTCATATCCAGATCTCATGCTTTGGCAAGGCTCAGCATGACCCATCTGTAGGTCTTTTTTTCAGCCTGTCTCTTTTAATTATATTGGTGAGGAAAAAAAAAGACAATTTGGTTTGCTCTTTCATGGAGAGGTATTTAAAAATACCAAATGAAAATTAAAAGCATGAGATACTAAGTTGACCAGATCATGTCCTATATGTTTCAATACCAATTCAACTTTAAAAGTTCTAAGGAACAAAGACTTTGACTTTCAGGGGGTAATTTAATAAACATTTTGTCTGTCTTCTTTTATCTATGAAAGACTGAAGGATGAACTTCTTGGGTGGGCCCACAACTAGTAATGATCAGAAACATCAAATTCCTTTACAGGAAGCTTTTATGAAAAACTGTGATCATCCATGTCTTGATTTCTACCATACCAGCTCTTCAATTCAATAAGATTCAGGGTTGCTTGTCTGCATTTCTTCCCATCTCAGTTCATCAGTCTCCTTCTCACCTCCTTTCTTTTTCTAGTCAACCAGGTTCCATTCACTGGATCATCACTTTAATCCTTTACCAGCACCTTCGATGTTTTTTCCCCCTGCATCTTTCTCCCAGTCACAGGAGGCAGACAGCCAACATGAAAAGCACATTTTTTGACCTGACATTCATGCTCTACAGACTTAGAAGAACATTACCAAAAACATACAGATTAGAGACATGCCTAACTTTCAACATTAGTTGGACCCTTAAAATTGCTTGATAATTTGACCACAGCTCCCTCTCTTATTCTCAAGAAGAAAAAAAAATCCTTATCTTTGTTTACTCACCTTCCTGATTTAACAGTCTTTTAATATAATCAGAAAAGGAAATGAGAGCTTTGGTCAGTTTCTATTCTACTAAGCCATATTGTGCATGGGTGTGTTCATGATTACTTTTTAAATTTCTAGATGTTTATGAACTGTACTAATCATTCACAACTTGTCTTTGCATTTTATCTACTTGGAGGAATTGATCTACTTCCATTAGTAATAATGTCCACTAAAACAGAAATTCTCCATTATGGATCCATATTCTCCTTGAGTGTTGTTTTTTAACATCACTGGAATGTAACAACATGTGTTTTAAAAAATCCCTAGGAGACTTCAACCTGGCCCTGTGAGCCCCTTTTCTATGTCATTATGGTGGTATTCTCTGTCATCCTCCCTTATCCAGTTCAAAATTTCTGGGTCTAGGATATAGCCTGTAGTTGGCTTCTAGAATTGTTTTGATAAGAGAAAAAAATTTAGACAAATTAAATTTTGAAGAGTTTAATTGTGAGCAAAGCATGATTCTTGAATTGGAGATCCCTTGGTTCAGGCTTACTTTCTTCCAATATTGCCATCCCTGTTCTTGTACCATGCACCTGCACAGCTAACCACTGATGGAGAACACTGTATACCTGATTGCTAGCTGAGCTCATGTCAAGAACACAATCATGAATCTCCAATGAGCATCTAACACAATGGATACTTCCA